TATAAGATTCCGGATGGCAAATTTGAACTTATTCCTTCTTCTTTTTTTTTTTTTTTTTTTAATTTGAACTTATTCCTAATGGCAGCTGGGGACCAGACTCTATTTTTAAAACATCCGTCCCTCGTAGCCAACCACAGGATCCGAAAACCGACAGCTCTGGACTTGTTTGCAATAATAGAAACCTTATCCTGATCCTTATCCTGATTTCCGCTACCCATCATAATGAATCCCTTAGACCAGACAGCAATGTGTGGACCATATGCAAAAAAAAACACATGCCACTGACCCAGTCGCAAAACCCCCTTGCCACAATGCACTCCCACCACAGGTGGTTGAAATCTTCCAATGCCTCGTGCGGGCACTGGGCATACATCACAGTGCAGGGAGATCTCCATCCCTCTGCTTATGATGTTGTATCAAGGGACGCTGGACCCAGTTTCCAGCACGTGCAGGTCCCCACCAATAAGATGGAGTTAATGTTTAAAAAAAAAAAGAAAAAAAAAAAGCTGTGGAGTCGTGTGTGTGGACGTGATTGCAGTAAGATTTTCGTCCAGATCTGGCCTTGCAGGCAGACTTGGACGAATCTGACTGCAATCACAGTAAGATTCGTCGAGATCTGGCCTTCCAGGCAGACTCGGATGAATCTGACTGCAATCACGTCCAGAGCATTGAAAACGACATCAGAACGTTGGTGTGAGTATGCCCTCTGCTTGGACATCGTAAGGAATCTTTTCTTTTTCTTCCCCCGATGCTGAGGCCGTACTCACAGTAGCGCATTTTTTAAAGAACCTCTGGACGTGATTGCAGCCAGATTCGTTTAGGTTTGGCCGTGCAATTTGGCTAGGGCGAGGCCTGGACGAATCCGACTACAATCACATCCGAAGCTATCCTTTTTTTTTTTTTTTTTTTTTTTTTTCCTATTTTGGTCTTCCTCCTCGACTCTCACGGCAGGAGCCGTGAGAGCCGGGGCCAAGTCCCATTAGCAGCGTTGATTTTTTTCAATGCCTGAATCTGGACGTGTTTTGTGGGAATGTGCGGTTGAGGAAACTCAACGCCATTTTGCACATCTCCTCAAAGACGCCCAGATTCAGGTGTTGAGGAAACTCAACGCTGCTAGTGGGACTTGGCCCCCAGGCTCCTGACAAAAATGACGGAATCCGCAGACTCCCCATCCGTCTCTTTCCTTTTTTTTCATTTTTTTTGTTCCTTTTTATTCTGCCTGTATCTGGCACCCAGACTGGGCCATATACAGGGGCTGGCCTTGTCCGTACCTACCCCCTTTCTTCTGCCAACTATTTCTTTTTTCTTTCTTTCTTATCTTTTTTCTCTCTCTCTCTCTCAGACCATTTTTGGGGATGGTTATGAATGATAGGGCCTCTCTCCACTACTCACCAATGTGCAAAAAGAAAATCATGAACCTTCCGCTAGAAGATGGAAAGATACACCGCCATATTTTTGCCGTTTGTGCATGTGGAGAGTAGTGGAGCGAGGCCTCGAGGCCTCGGTTCACTACTCACCTTTAATGCGCAAAATGAATAGGAATCTTCTGCTAGAAGATGGGAATTCAATGATCATTGATCTCCCAAAAACAATAAAAAAAAAAAAAAAAAAATCAATGATCACTCATCCCAAAAAGATGGCCCTTACAAGGCAAACCATGACACACACACACACAAAAAAAACAAAAAAAACACGCAATTTTAATGACAAATTGAATACAGTTCATGGTAAACCACCGGCACACCTGGACCTGGATGCCCTCCACTGCGCGCCAAGCTTTGCCGACCCGCCAGCAGCGCACTTTTTTGCTTTGCTTTTTGAGCTGGCGCCGCCACAACCATTGTGGTCCCGTGGGGCCAAGGCCGGGGAGGCGCAAAATTCTCGGAGTAGGTGACGAAACATTTTCTGCCAGGCTGTGGCCGTGTACCAGCGTTCTAAGTTTTAACTGCTGAGTATTTTTCCTGATACGGCCATTCAAAAGATTCCAAGCATTTTCTCCAAGGCTGGGGCTGTGTACTAGTGGTTGTGAATCTTTTGATGTGGCATTTGGAGAGATGTACCGAGGTGTAAATGGATGGCATCAAAAGATTCAAAACATAATAGTAAAAAAAATAATAATAATAAGAGTAGTAGTAGTAGTAGTAGTAGTAGTAGTAGTAGTAGTAGTAGTAGTAGTAGTAGTGGTGGTAGTAGTGTCGTGGTAGTTCAAAAAAAAAAGAAACTCACCTGCTGGAAAAACTGTAGACCCATTCCCACCATGAGAGCCTGAAGTACGCCGGGCTCCACCAAATCCTTCATTGCCGATCCTGATTCCATCATCGACGGGTGCGGCATCGCGGGTCCGACTAAAGGAATTTCCTCACCACCCAGAACCACTCGACCCGTCAACGCCGGCGATTCGCTAACGAGTACAGAAGCTCTCACAAAATCACCTCTCCGTGGAGTTCCTGTCCAGGCCGTTGATGTGGCGTCGTCCACATCGTCGCCAATGTCAAACCCGACAGCCTTGCGCGGTGTCCCGACCATCGAGCTGGCCCGTTCCAGGCCCATAGCCGATTCCGGAAGTAAGAAGACACGTGTCAGCCGCGGCATAGTTTCCTGATCGGGCACCGCTGTATCTTGCTTGACGCTTGAGTGATCAGCCTGTTGTGGTGCCAGATTAGTAGTCCCAGCGAGAGATCTTGTACTCGGCGAGCGATAGACTCCCGGCTCTTCCAAGTTCCACGCCATTCTCCATCCTCCGCCAATTTGCTTTCCCTGCACAAACGGCGATCCAGGTGTGGACGGCCGAGATGACGCCACGCTGAATCGCCTGGCACTCAGAAGAGCTCCACCAGGACTACCAAGCAGAGGTGTCGTCAGGTCATCGCCGGCATCGCGAACCGATGACGGCGCCAATCGCGATGTGCGAATGTGGTCGATAATAGGAAGAGGAGGAAGAGGAGGAAGAGGCGATGATGATCCGACTCCTGTCAATCCGGACAAGCTGGTGCGGCTAGTTGATTTTCCCAACAACGGAAACAGAATCTGATCGTCGTGAGCCGGGGAGGAGAACGGCTGTGGACCAGCAGCTGCATCACCCGTCTCTACATCCCCGCCACCCTCCTCACCGCCATCATCAGGGCCCTGCGGAGGCAATGGATACGCATAGAACTCCGAATCTGGGACATCGATGAAGCGCACTCCATCCCCTTCCCCCCCTGCACCGTCCTGGTCCTCGTCGTCGTCCAGGTCCTCATCGTCAAGGTCGGCGGGCGCAAGAAGCCATTCCTCCACGGTTGCGGTCGGATTCGGCGTGGCAAGCCCTTCGACCGCAAGGGTCAACTCATCTGCGACGTCATCCGTCTGCCTCAAGTACTTGAGCACGTTCCTCGTCTGCAGCATTTTTCCTTTGCTCGCTAACCACTTTGGCGATTCCGGCACAAGGAAAGCAAGTAGAAGAATATAGATAGCCACAGGAATGTACGACAACGAGAGAACGAACCGCCAGTTTGGATTGGTGGAGGTGCTCCAAAGGAAGGCGGTAAAGAACGAGAAAAACAGACCAGCACTGCACATGAGCTGCGGAAAGGTTGCGAGGACTCCTCGTGCGTCCGGAGGAGCGCATTCCGCGATGTATAACGGAACAACAGTGGTCATGACTCCCACCCCTGCGCCGATACATACTCGCCCAGCGATAAGGAAGTAGGGATCCGGTGCTTCTGTTGTGATTACAATCCCCAATAAGTACAAGGCAGCTCCAATGAACAAAAGTGGCCGTCTCCCCAGCCAATCAGACAAAGGACCAGAAACGGAGGTGAGAAGCAGGCCCCCGATCAGCGTGAGGGCCACAATAGAGCCTTGAAGCTGTGGATGCGTTTCCAGCTGGAACTCTGGGACAATGAACAGCATAGCACCTGAAGCACCACAATTTGAGAAAACAAACAAAAAGACAAACCACAACCCAATTTAAGACAATGATAATTGCGGATTGCGCATTTACAATTGATTCTATCTACAGCACTCTCACATATAGTTCACACATACAATCAACACGGAGGGGAAGGCGGAGGAGGAGGCAGCGAAGGACAAGGAGCAGCAGCAGCAGCAGCAGCAGAAGAAGAAGAAGAAGAAGAAGAAGAGGGAGAAGAGGGAGAAGAGGGAGAAGAGGGAGAAGAAGAAGAAGAAGATGCAACTCATTAGTTGCCTGAACCCTCTACAGTCTGCAGACTCTGCAGAGTCCCCTAACCTATGATATTGAAAGTGATAATCCACCTTAACCCCTGTCGTGGTTAGGCATCAACCACAGTCTACCCATGTCAGGGCAGAAGCAGAGAGGGAGAAGAGGACAACAAACAAGGGGTTGTGACAAGCAGTTTGAAATTCGTCAGAGTTTTATAGTCAGCCTCCTCATGAGTCAGTGAAACTCCAACAAAATCGTCGGTCGCAGCCCCTCTTGTGTTGTCCTCCTCCAAAAAAATCGTCGATCGCAGCCCCTCTTGTGTTGTCCTCTTCTACCTCTCTGCATACAGTTTACAGGGCAGTTCTGTTTGACGATATATACAAATTTTGTATGAAATAACGGCGGACGCGGCATGTTTTGAAACCCTAAAGGCAAAAACAAAAAACTTGCGCCGGAAAAGAAACCACGTGCCAACTCGAAATGAGCGATTGCGGTCCAAAAGTATCTGTTGGGCATTTTCTTTTTTTTTTTGTTTGTTTTCCCCTCTGACACCACAGCCGGCCGGCCCCTGTAAATATGACACCCGGTCTGACTCCACACGTGACGGCAGTCAGTAGTCGGTACTTCCGTTGCCTTTTCGAACTCGGCAAAGATTTGCCTTTTCAAACTCGGCGCGGTTTTCTTTGCTGACACGTGTTTGTTTTTGCCCATTCGACACTCAAAGGTGACATGAACGTACTTACCCCATTTTGTATATATTATATAGATATACATATTAAATATATTTATAGTATTTTTATACTAATTTTATAGATATACAGTCATAGAGAACTGCCGGTGAACCATAATAGGCAGAAAGGGAGAGGAGGACAAGAAACGAGAGGCTGTGTGTGTGTGTGGATGTTGTCATCTTCGCTATACACAACGCCGCATACAAAGCATGACGGTCCCTGGCTGTTTCCTTGGAGTTTCACCGACTAATCAGGGGGCGAGGGGGGGGTGGGGGCGGGCGGTGTTATCATGTTCGCCATACACAACTTCACAGCCATAAAACCCACTCTACACACCCACTCAGCCACAGATAACCAATTCCATCACTGCTACTATGGTCCCGACCCTAGCTGCATGTGTGTGTGTGTGTGTGTGTGTGTGTGTGTGTGTGTGTGTGTGTGTGTGTGTGCGTGTGTGTGTTTCTGTGTGTGTGTGTGTTGGAGGGGGGGCGGGTTGTCCAGAAACACCAAACTCTCTTTCACATTCCATCTACAAGCCATCAAAAACTATCCATGAAACAAAAGAAGTATAAGCAGGAAATGTAATCGACAATGCGAGGTTCCCCACGTCTGTGTGCTTGAGCGGGAAGTGTCCACACACCCGTCTGCTGCCGGAGCAGCACACTTGCACAAAATATATTGTACTCTATAAAGGGGTCAAGAGCATAAGGCAAATCACTGGCACTTATACTATTCATGTGTGTATGTGTGTCGTTTTAAAAGACCCCAGATTCTCTCTCTCACTCCCTTCACAGATCGTCAAAAGCCATCCATAATGAAAAAGTATAGATTGTGTGTGTGTGTGTGTGTGTGTGTGTGTGTGATGATTGATGATGTGCTAGAGTGTGGGCGGTCTGGGGCTAGATTTTTATTGTCTATCCCAGCGCTCGCGTACTACCGTCTTCACCCCAAATAGAACGCCTGGTCATTATCACTGTATCTAGACTGAAAAATTGCACCAAATACAGCTATAATGACCGGGCGTTCTATTCGGGTGAAGACGGTAGTTTTATCCTGATGCTGACGCTGTAGCGGCGTCAGCATCAAAGATTAACCGTTCACCATCCATGCAAGTGGCTCTTCATCCAAACACAAGGGTCTGTCGTTTCCAGATGGTGGCGCCCATGTGAAAACAAGGGAAATAAACAAGGCAAAAAATAAACATGGACGAAAGAAACGGAAAGAACATAAAATTATTGCAGAAATGCAAGTACACAGCCTCCATGTGAAAACACGAAAAAAAAAAAAGAAAAGGAAAAAAAGAACGAAACATGGAAGAAAGAAAAGGAAAGGAAAGAAGAGAAAATTGCAGAAATGCAAGTACACAGCCTCCACTTTTTTTAATTTTATTTTTAACCAACTTTCAATTAAAGCCGGGAAACGAACCTCAGGTCCAGCTGGTATCGGTCTGTTTTTGGCTCGGAGGCTCGGAAAAACGCAACTTGTGGTTCGTCAAAATATGTCCACATGAACTGGTGGTTTAAAAATAGGGATAATTTGCAAAAACCCCCATAAGTTGAGAATCTTGAGATATATTCCAGAATGCCCCTGAAAGATATGGGCAGAGCGGAATGCCCTTTTGGACCGAAATCTTTGTGTTATGCCCCTGTCAGGCGGGTGTGCAAATTTGCAATCTGGACATCCCCGTTCGCACCTTGGCCTTTTGCAACCGGGCCTTGGAAAGGTTGGCAAGTAAAGGGGTATTTTGCAAATTTGGATGGTACCCGGTAATTGTATATTGCAAAGATGGGCGGGTCCAACTGCCGCGAGGGGTTTTTCGCAATTTGTTTTTTTGTCAGAGGGGCATTCCACTCTTAGACTACCCACATCTTTCAGGGGCATTTTGGCACATATCTCAACTTAATGGAGTATTTTGCAAACTATCCAATAAAAATATTTGTTTTTATTACAGGCCCAGTCCCCATGGGAAAACATAAGAGTATACGCCGTACGGCCATTGGCCGCCGGCCCTGCGCTCCTTGGCCAACGACATCGTTCGTTTGGTGCTTTCAAGACTTTCGAGATTACCTTTTTGTTTGTAGCCCTCCCTCGTCTTCTTCTTCTTCTTCTTCTTCTTCTTCTTCTTCTTCTTCCTTCTTTCTTTCTTTCTTCCCTCTTTTTCTCCTTTCGTGCTTCTGGTTCTTGTTCTCGGTTTCTTAACTGGTCTCTCGGTTGCGTCTTGATTCACTCTGTGTCACACTGTCTTTTTTTTGTATAGGCCTTTAGGCCGGCAGTAGACTTATGTTGTTGTTGCTTTGTGATAATTATTGATGCTGTGCGAGTTGCGACTCACCACCCCCGCGCTCCATATTGAGTCCATAATTATTTTTTTCTGTTTATCTGATTGCATCTGGATTCGAACTTCGGTCTGTATTTCAGCAATTTATCGGGTAGAGTTTAAACTTTTGTCACTGGTCTGGAAAGTACCAATGGGCCCATTGAGCCAGGCCCATTGGTACTTTCTCTTCTTCTTTCTCTTCTTCTTTCTCTTTCTTCTTCCTCATGCTGCAGTGTGGGATGACCTCTTTTTTTCGAAAAGAAAAACAAAAGGGAGAAGAAAAAAACGCATTCTTTTGTTAGGCGGTACGAGCCCTCTGTCCCATTCGACCCGAATGGTTCACTGGTTCCACCAAATGCTTTCCTCCGACCTTTGGGACATCCGACGTTAAATTTCGAACCTCCGTCCTTCTCCGTCCTTCGGGACATCCGTCAAATTTGAAACAATACAGAGAAGGGTAATTAGCATGGCCCCTGCGCAAGGATGACACCCATAAATCGAGAAACGGTCCAAATTATTCAAAAAAAAAAAAAAAAAAAAAAAAAAAACTCTCATCCCTAAATGGGATTCCAACTGTCATGTTGGACGAGAACGAAAATTGCACTTCAGGTGCTGTTGCCACTTCGTGGCCTGGTTCTCCGCGAGCCCTGGGGCCAAGTCCCACTTAATGCTGATTCTTCATTTCAGACAATCGACCTTTGTAATCTACACTGAGAAATTGAGATTTCGGGTGAATGGAACTTGGCCCTTAGCATGTGGATGCGCTCTTATTCAACACAATACATCTACGAAACAGGACCCGTTTTCCAGCAGGTGCAGGTCCCCACCAATAGACCGGAGCAACCTGGAAGCCCGCTAGTGGGGGGGGAGGAGGAGGGTGCTCTTATCACCTCCCCTAGCGAGGGGTCCATTTTTTCATAAAAAAAAAAAAAAAAAAAAAAAAGGGAAACGGGCCCTGCGTCTCTTACATCATATGCTGCAGCCATTTGGGATAAGCCAGTTGCTCATCCCAAATGACCGCAGCATATGATGTAAATTAAATAAGAGACGCTGGGCCCGTTTCCTTTTTTTTTTTTTTTTTTTTTTTCCCTCCCATTTGCAAGGGATATGAGTGTGAACGATATACAGAAAACCAAGTTGCGAAATCACACAGATGTCCAGGTAGTCGTATCCAAGCAGAGAGTACAAAATGCACCGAGAAACCATCCATATAGAGCAATACAATGGAGTAATGCGCCAATGTTCAAGCTCGTAGGCCACACCAACACAGTATCCAAAGTCACTCCTCTCTGTCTGGCGCCCAGCGGCGCCAGCGCCCAACCTACTCTGCCCGACTATCCTACCTACAGCTGGTTCACGCAACAGGCTCACTTCGACTCTCGAAGACCAATGTACATGACTGTCAACTCCATAGCCGACCTCTCTTCATGCACCAGGTACGTATCTCGTCACCCTCAATCAGACCTTGATTACCCCACACTCGCCTCCTTCCCTGAAGACCACCAGACCGCCTGCTGCACCCCCTCGCTGGCGCCCAGCAGCCCGGCTACGGCTGCCTGCGCCCCGCTGCCCTGCAGCACCTTTGGCAGCAGCGTAGCATCAAGCTTGAGCGCAGCAGCACTTCCGCATTGCCAGCACTGGCCAGAATGCCTGGCCTGGGCTGCCTCACTTTTTTTATGGAAGTGGCAGCCCCTTGGATGCTGCGTGTGGCCTGGCTGGAAGCTTCCAGTA